TTGGTTTAGGGTTTCGTTGGTGTTTTCTGGTGCTATTAAAATGTACCAAGTATTTAGGGTTGTTTAGTAAGGGTTTCTTTAGGGTTGTCTTAAGGGACCTGGGGTTTACTTAGGGTTGACTCAGGGCATGTTTATACTTGATTTTGCATTTATTCAGGGTTGTTAATTTGGGTTCTGCTTATTTCTGGTTTGTGAAGTTTGTTAAGGCTCGAAACACTGCACCACACAAAGTGTATGTTTAAGACATGGTTCGAAAAGTTATTTTGGATACCCCCAAAAAAAACTACAAAATCTAACACGTTAACGTTTGGCACAAAACATTTTTTTGTGGGAGATGGTTGGGTATCTTGAATCATCTCCAAGCAGGTTTTTGATTTTGTAGAGGGACTTTTTTGGAATCATTTTATATAGAGGACACCAAAAGCCATGTTTTTCATTTTGTAGTGTTTTTGGTTTTGTAGAGAAATTGGCTGAACCATGACTTCATTTGATTTCATATGGTTTCAATTGGTTTCAAAAATATGTATGACATCTATCCTTTAATTATTATTTTTTGAAAACAGTCAGCTAAATGTATACATGTATCTATACATAGATAAATTTTAAACACATACAGACGATAAGAATCTTATCGTTTGTATCGCTTCCCATTTCTCATTTGATGGGGGGGACAAAGGGGGAGGATGTCAAGCTGAGACACACCGAGGGAGACACACCTGGGGCTCATGACCTTCGAGCTCCACAACGGGGTAACACAACGGGGTAACACACCAGAAAGACAACAACATATCGATATTGTTTTAAATACTTGGGTCTTCAATCGTTACATTATTTTTTGCTACCCTGTACTTTTGGGGCATTCGAGCATATATCCAGGATCGTTATAAAAATCAGAAATAGCGAGCATTTTCAATATCTGACAGCGATCTGGAGCAAAAAACATGGCCGCAATTTCGGGCGCAAATACGCGCAATCGAGCGCAAATAAGCGCAATCGGGCGCAAATTCAGAAAAGAAGTCTGGCCAATAGAGCTTAAAAAATATCGAGCACGTCAATTTCCAATCGTTATGGTAATTTTGGGAACAAACAAATCTCCAAACGAGCAAAAAAACATGTAGCAATTGAAGATCCAGGTTTTGAATGAATGGTGGGAGTCAAACAGGTTAAGACTTGATGCATTTGAACGTGTTTTCAATGTGTTTGGTGGGGCTCAAAATTGAATCACGCATTTTTCGGCAGAAAAAATATTGTCGAAAAAAAGGAGAACTGATTGGAATCCTTGTTTTTTGTATTGATTTTCACTTAAACAAACGCAGGAAGGTATTTGAGTGGAAAAAAAATCTGCAAATCAGACAAACAAAATATTGAACACATTCCTTGCAACGAAGCGGCAGAAAAGTTGAAGCCACGACAAAAAACAGAAACCGGGCCTCTGCAAAATCCAACGGTGATTTTTGTTGATTTTTAGACCCCAAACAAAAGTTTCTTTACAAAATCCAATTGTTTCTGGGATGACTTTTGAGGGTGTATTTGGACCAAGTTTTCAGTGCTTATATATAGTAGGTGGATTTTCATGATTTGGATTTTGCAGTGCCCCAGGTCCCAGCAAAAGTGGGGTTGGGTGTTTGGATTTTGTAGGCCTGGAAGTTTCCTATTCAAATGTTTTTGGTTTTGTAGAGGCCGTTTTGGTGTTTTCCAAAAATTGTGTCTACAAAATCTGAAGCCCCAACCCCACCAGGTCAGTTTTTTGGGGTATTATGTTGGCACATCCTTAGGTAAGCGCGAAAATGGGACGCAAGCACTTTCACTATTTTACATGTTCACAATTTGCAGGGAAAAAAAACAATGCAGCAGATTGCATGAAGTCTCGCATGGATTCGATCGATTTTGGGCGAATGTCAGCCTAGCGTATTTTTGGGTGAAAAAAACATAGACATACTTTTACACACTCATCATCAGCACTAATATTATTGATGTCTGCATAGCCTGGTTTTTCCGTGTTTTTTCCCGAAGCTTCGTCGAGTGGACCAAGGTCCTCGCCGTCTTTTTCTTTCGGGAGCCGCAGCAGCAATGAGCATCTTGGTGAGATGGGATCCCGCCGAGGGGCCAGCTGGAATCCCATGGTGGTTCACCGCTGACCGTGATAGGACATGACAATATGCACAATTACACTGGGCAAGAATGGCAAGAATCTTGCAATATTCGTAAGGATTGAATGCGTAATTACAGTGGTTGAATTTTCTCATGTGTAGTTCCCAGTCTAAGTTGGCACTAAAACATAATATCAAGTTGCGGGCAATTATTACTTTTTCTGGACCTTAATGAATTCTTTAAACACGTAATTCTATGGGGGGAGCTGTTGTTGTTTTCCTCAGCTTTCAGCTACAATGTACCTACATGAAGCAGTTTCCAAGACAACGTGCCGGAGCGTCGCATCATCTTCATGACGCAAGTGCAAGGAACGTTAACACATCAACCCTTCGTGCCAGCTTGCTATCATCACCGAGACGTACACAAACGCAGCATCATCTTCATAAATGCAAGATAAAAGACACCAAAACCCACGGGCTGTTCCGGACGGTGGGCCAACTATTGGTCATGTTCATTCATTTTCTCCCCCTGTTCCATCTTTCGGCCCTGGGGGTCACCTCATTCTGATTCTGACCTACCAGTACGCCGAGATGTTGAGCACCGACCTCTTCAAGATTGGATCGCTGACTTCTTTTATTACTCCTATTAATTAGACGTTACTATAAATATCTATATATAAATATCTATAAATCATTATAAATTGTCTTTATTAGCTGATCTCAAAGCCTCAAAGATCTGCGAGACTTGGAGCACGACCCTTCGAATCGATGCGAGGCTCAACACTTTGGCCTCCAATCGAAGTTTCTTCTGCTGGAGCACTCAGCAGTTCAGACAAATGAGACTCGACCCACCAAATGCAGGGTTTCTCCAATATGCTCCAATTATTGTATGGGTGGTTGGGTGTTTCAACCATTTATTGTTTTTTCCAACATTTTTCAACCATAGTTAGGATGATTGGTTGAGATGGCTCATATTTTTGGCATGGATTAAAACCACCAGATGGGTATGGATAAATGATAGCCACAAGCAGCCACATATGGTGGACCATGAATGAAAATGATATTCTACATGATTTTACCTCTTTAGGCCTGGCCATTTGAAAACCATCCAACTTTTTTGGGGAGGTTGCCTAATTTGACCCATCCCAGTTGTCATGTTCACAACTGCTTTTGAGATGGAAACCACGGTGACCCGGGGTCCGAATCGCAGGTAAAACAGGGACGCATCGATGTCAAGATGGGGAGACCCTTTTAGACCCATTGAGAAGGCAACAGGGCGGAGAGGCAGACCATAGGTTGGAAAATCTTGGAAACAGGTTACGGATACCCAATGGCCTAGCTGTTTGAAGACGGTTTGATTTCAACTCAAAGGGTAGCTATGAAACATGATCGGACATGATCAGGGTACTTCTATACTGTAGCCATGTTTGCCACTTTGAGACAGTTCACAACATGTTGGCACGCGAGAAGTTGCTTGAAGGCTTCAGCTGAAGAAACTGCACAATTGTTGGCAGGATTTTGGAATAGTATAATAGTCTCCACCAACCAACATTGAAATTTGCTTGTTTACTCCCAGTAGTTTCAAAACACCCCAGCTGATTGATGATTAAAATCACATGTTTATATGGGATATATCATATATCAATAGATATCAATAGTGAGGGAGCCGCGTCATACGGTATTTGTTTTTTGGCTTTGCCACGCAGGTTTTTGGGTCGCTTTGGAACGCAGCCAATGATTCTGACAGAGAAACGTTGGTATTGTATACAGTATGTATGTGTGTGTATATATATATATATATGCACACACACGTAAGCATATACTTACACATGGAAGCCCAAGACGCTCTAAAAAAAACGTCATCCAACAAAAACCGATGGTTTTTAACCTGTTCGTCCAAAAGTGGATTTTCACCGTTCCAGCGCATATCCTACAAATCCACCATGTTGGGTGTTGTGCGCATTTTTTCCCGAGTTGCGCGGTGATTTTAAGCCACTACTCCATTGCCCGTTGATTTCAAAACTTAAAATTGAAAATGTGAAAAGGAGGTGAACAAGCGCCGAAAAAATTCCCGTATGCGGCGCGTAAATCCGCGTTCACCCGATGCTCTGTGCGCGGCAAAGAGTGTGACTTTGGTATGTTGGCTGATGTTGGGAGATACCCTCTGGTAAACTAACATAGCTATTGAAAATGACCATTTATAGTTGATTTTCCCATTAAAAATGGTGATTTTCCATAGTTATGTTAAATTACCAGAGGGTAACTTGGCGATTTCTCACCATCGTTTGGGTTGATCACCAAGATCAATTGTTTTTGCGGCGACAACTTTTGGCCCCAAAAGCCAAACGTCGATGGTTTTCGCAAAGGCGACAAGAAATTAAATGAGAGCAACTGCGGAGTTCCAGGTAATATATACATATGCATAATATGATAATTATAGATATTGAATTGAATGATATAAGGACTAGTGCTATATGTATATGCAAAGAGAAAATTACATCCACGCGAAAACATGCATGTATTTATATATCAATATTTATTCATAGTCACACAGACATTTAGACAGACACATGGATTTTTACAGGCATACATGTAGTCACACACACACACATATTATATATATGTATATATAATATACACATACAGTATCATACAGTACCATATTTATTCATATTCACAGACATTTGGACAGACACATAGATATAAACATGCATACATCTAGTCACACACACACACTGCTGAGCACGCGCACACAAAATACTTCATACACATTTGGCCATCACGACAAGGTGTCCTGATTCAGGTTCAAATCCCTTTCATGAATCAGCTTGAAAGTGTTGCTTCGCGGCTTCGCGACTATTTTTTGTATATCCCCTCTCTGTGGGTTTGTTTGTTTGTCTTGTTGCTCACATTGTGTCGTTTTCTGTCATGTGGCGATCCTGGTGCTCACCACCTTCCAATACGTGTGTTCTGAAATGCTGAAGTGACGCGAAACGTGTGTTTTGAATGTCCATAAAAGATTGGGATCATCGCTAGGAATCCCATTTTGATATAAAAAGCATCCATCAAACAACCGCCCTTTAGACTTCCCCAAAAATGGAGACTTCCCACTAGGCGAGACGACAAAAGTCAAAAGTCGCTGAGAGAGCGTGGACGACAGTGGAAGGCCGTGCCAGGCTGGGGCATCGGGGATGCTGGATGTTGCTGCCTCATCTGGCGGTACCCTCTGGTAAACATAGAAAATGCTATGGAAAACCCAGCATGTTTAAAAGGTAAATCATGATAAATCAGCTATTTCCAGGGCCATGTTCAATAGCAAACTGTTAGTTTACCAGAGGGTAAATGCTAGCATTGGTGTCAATTGGGGGATAACTCATGATACTTCCACATTGACCTTTTGTTGACTCACTGCAATTTAGAGACCAGTGTTGCAAGGTTTATGCAAGGTTTATGAACAAACCTGCAGGGCAAAGCTTCAGCAAACCTTCTAACGTACTGCTTTAAACAATGATTGGTAGGTGTTTCCAAGAAGATATGGACAACATTTTTTTGGTTGGTGTCGTCCTGTGCTGATTCCTCAGACTTGGGAATTTGGCAGTAGAAGAATGACCATGGCGCCGACACAGAAACAAGGTAACATTCGCACCATGACCACACCAGGACCAGGAAGTTACCGCGTTCCTAGGTGCGGTTTGGTGGGGGGTTCGGGACCTGGGCCCGGCCAAAACAGAGATGATTTTAAGTTGTGGGAAGCGGGAATTAAATGTTCCAAAACTTGGGGTTCTGAACATGTCACACATCAGCCTTAGATTCGATGGTTTTCGATGCTTGTTGAATGCTTGGGATACGTCATGGACATGACGTTGGAGTGGCAGTGAACATCGATGACCTCAGAGTGAATTCAGCAAGATTGCCAAAGTATTAGCTCCAATTGATTCTTGAATGTTTGTGCTCACAACGGAAAACTCTTGGCTCACGCCACCTGAAGCTGAGCCAACAAGAATGACATGTTCGGAAATGTTGACGGGCCGACCGCTTTCAAAATCGTTCAAACACTTGGAAAGAACTGCCCAAGTCTACTTGTAGATCTTGTAGGCGCTTGAAAGAGCCCAGATTGTTTGGTTGCAACCCTCGGCCATTCTGGTGAACGTACAATCAAGTGTGAATTATGCTCTAGACATGTTCAATGCTTTTAATGTTCCACAGCAAGTGGACCACCTACAACCCTTTTTTTCCCACAGTACATACCAGCTGGGTCCTGAATTATCAATTTCAATAGCGATCTGTGGCTTCGAAGATGGTGGTGCCATCAAAGACCTACGTCTCAAGATCCGATGGCTGGTCCTTTGGCTTGTCTGATGTGTTCGATTGCCAAGTACGGCGTTACTTGGACGCCGGCGAATCGTTTCATTGGCAAGACCTGCTGATGCTGACAGAAATGGCCCTAGCAGCCTTCGTTAGCGAGATTTACCTCGCACGGGTTCTGCCCTCCTTGGGCTTGGTCAGCAACTCATCTGCTCCTATAGCAGCCATGACCAGCCGTCCTCTGGTCTTTTTCATGGCCCCGGTGTCGTATTTGTTCATGTATGCCATGGTTTGTGGATCCATACACTACATCTACACCCGGAAGTATCCGGAGGAGGGCCAAAAACTCAGCATCCAAAACAAGCCAATGACTGACCTGGAGATGCGAAGGGCAATAGTCTTCAGTGTGAAGAGCATACTCTCTGTCTCTGCAGCATCATCATATGCCTTCTATGCAATTCAGGGATGGACCAACCTCCATTGGGGCATGCCCAGTTGGAAAGACATCCCTTGTTTCCTGTTGGCTTATATCCTGGTGGACATTTCAGCTTACGTGGTTCATCGCATGTTGCATCGGCCCTGGTGGTATCGTTACGTGCACAAAGCTCACCATCTCTGGAAGAATCCCAACGCCTTTGTGGTTTCGGCCCTCCATCCGGCGGAATTCCTCTCCCTGACGGTGCCGACACTCTCGGTGATCTCGGCACTGCCCATGAGCCTCTTCTCGGCGATGCTTCTGTTGTCCTGGATCTTCACTTGCAATGCAATCGAGCCTGGGCTGATGTGAACCAAGATGAACCAATAGTAAAACCAGGTAAAACCAAATAATTATGATCATATAATATGATGGCATAGCCATTGTATATCATTGTATTAGATACCACCACATTATGGCGTTCCTCTCTGGGCCCCAAAAATTACGACCAATACGTGTTTTCGGATTGGCCTTGGGCACTTGGACTGGGGATTGGGACATCCGGCGACATGTGGGGATGGTTTATTCCCCATGTCAACGTGACTTAAAAATCCATTCTCAGTGTACTGTATGTCAGTGTTTCAGGCTGGTTGCGTCCATAATATATATATAATGTTATATCGTGTGTGTATATATATATGTTATATTACATGTTGGAATTCACTTGGCCTTAAACATGTTCCTCAATCATATCCTGTATCAATGGCTGTTTCTTGGCCTTGAGCGGCTGCAGGACCACTCCGGGCTTCGGCTTGACGAGCAGCCTTTCTTGGCTTGGCTGGTGTGGCAGGCACCAGTGGAGTTCCATGACAACCATCACAAGTTCTTCCATGCCAACTATGGTGCCATGGTGGATTGGTGGGATCGAAACTTGTCAGGAAACAATGTGTGAAACATGAGTTGCTTCATTTTGGGTGCCAAAATCTAGCAGCCAGGGAGCCATGACAATATTGACAACCGTCATAAAGAACCAAGAACTGTGCACATGGTGGAGATTCGATCTCTTCGATCTCTATGTTTACACATGTTTGCACCTCCCAGCGCTCCAAAAAAGACACAATAAGGACTGGGTGGCACCTTCTACTCTCCCAAGGAGCATGGCAACATTGGCCTCTCAGAGGATGAGTTTCGGAGTGCACGAGTTCTAAGAATGACTCGTTGAGGAAGACAATTTTTCTGAACAGGATGTGGGCGTTTCCAAGATTCTCCAAGTACTGTTGACCTTTCTTGATTCCCCTGATGCCCCAAATATATCCAAAGATCATGGTTGATTTTAGCAAGAGAAACCAGAGTCAGCGACTGATGGGGACACACCCATCTCAAGAAATTGCGGCACTTTGAACGAAGATTCAATGAACATTTGTCTTTGCTGTTTTGCAAGGTTTGCCAACGTTAATGTCATATCGCAAGCTCGAGACATTGACTCTTGGTCCATGTCGAAGCGAGCGAAAGAAAAAAGGTGAAACTGCGAAGTGAAAGAGGTTCAAAAACCTATGCACTATAGTTATATATAGTTTATATTATGTTATATTATTTATATGTATATCCCCTATAAACATCAATACTAGTTGTATTTCTGGATTGGAAGCTGTCGCCAGGTTTCTGGGCGACATTGATCGCGTTTCGGAGGCGGGTTTCCGGGATGCTGGAGGATGCCGGAGGATGCCGAAAGATTTTTTTTCCGCAGCGACGCCAGATATCAATGGGGAAGAGCTCCTATCCGCAGGGAAACTCAGTCGAAGAGTGACGAAAAAAACTTTGCGAGAATTCCGCATCCCATGTGGTTGCATTAAAAAGAGCCCGTAAAACAAAGATAAACAAAGAACAACTTGTATTGTGGGGCCATTGGGAGAAGTCTGGAATTGCAACATTCAAATATGATCAACTATGTCACCGAATGTCACCTAGTCACCTAGCCATATCGGATTGAACATGTTGCAAGTAGTTACTAAGTATATAGTACAACTCAACATTTATAAATGTTATGAAACTGTAGCCACGACTTCAAGGTTTGTCCCAGGTTTTTGGAAAACCATGGACTGATAGATCTGATAGCTTCATCGTGGCTTTTCTGGACAAAATTATACCAACACCAACAAAAACATCCAAACAATTCCAAACACCAGATATAAATCACGACAAGCCATGATAAATCGTGCTCGAATAGACTAATCATCCCATTGAGATGGATTGGACGTTTTGACATAAATAGCATTATGAACAATTATGTCACAATGACCAAACAGTGGTAATATGTCAACATACTATTATATATAGTTATATATTTAGTTATATATATATATATCTATAGTTATATATATATAGTTATATATATAGTTATATATATATAGTTATAAATATATAGTTATATATATATAGTTATATATATATATAGTTATATATATAGTTATATATATATAGTTATATATATAGTTATATATATATAATATAGTTATATATATAGGTTACCATAAATAATACTAACATAATACATAATTGTCACAGTGACCAAACTGTTGGTAGCCCCAGGTGGCAGGCGCCAAGCTGGTCAATGGATGGCCAGTCCTTGAGGCGTGCTTTCTTTAGGGGGAGCTGCCTGAGGAAATGGCAATGGTTCGTATAGTGCAAGAGCTAGGGAAACACGTATATATTTGTATCATTTCTAACATGAAGATACATAACTAGGATAAATATCAATAGATATGAGACATAACTATATTTATTATTATGTATCAAACATCCAAGATTTTTGGACTTCAGCTTCGGCCCGTCACCCAAGGAAAGTACCCTTGTGAACGATGGTTTTTACTGGTAAAAGGATCCAGAGCCAGTTGAAAAAACGGATAGAGATTTGCCGCAAGATTATTTGAAAGTCGATCGATTTGGATGGAACACATCTAGCAATCCTGTTGTTGGTGGCAAAGGCTGCAAGATGGAATTCACAATGCAAGCTGCCAGTCATCAATCTTCACATATGGATAGAAACCTGGGGGTTCTCAAACTTGGGCTATATTAGTTTCCATTATCCCGGCAAGAGACCCCAAACAGTGTTGGGGAGAGTAGAAGAATAACGCATTTTAATGTTGATGATAATGATGTTGTTGATGATGGTGATGTTGGTTATGATGCTGAGGATAAAGATATTTTGCGGATGAGGAGACGAGACAGACGGAACAAAGCGACACGGGACCATGACTTCTGACTGCGTGTGCATTCACTATTGCACCCAGATACAACAACAACTGCGGACATCTGCGGAGAACTTGTTTTAACTGAGGACAGCGGAGCGAGGTCAGTGATGACGGTGCCATGGCAACGATCAACAACGGAGCGCGCAACCGCAGCTCGTCATTTAGATGATGCAACAGGCACCAGCAAAAAGCGGCTGCGGTCAGTCAGTGATAAGACTCTCAAGGCAACCCCGCTGAAGGAATCGCAAGCTACTGTAGTCAGCACCCACAAAATGGTCCTGGCCATCTCTCTTTAAATTCTGCGAAGTCAGCGTCGTACACTTTCGATGTATTGAAAGTGGAAATTTGATATTCCCACCGGCACCTGCTTTGATCATCATCTGCCTTGGACACGCCGCAAGGCGTTCAACCGCAGCATTGCTATCCCAGCACGCAACCGCAGCCAAGGAGAACGCGAGCCCAGCTAGATTTCTCTCCGCGGCCGATGCAACATCTCCGTACTTCCATCGCCCACAAGGTGACAAGTGGATGCAGCAGGAAGAGACAGTGCGGTCTGAGACGCGATCACACCTGCAGGCATATCTTCAGCACTGGGGTTTGCAGGGCCGGCACGGGCCGGCACGCCAGCGCACAGCCGCAGACGGCATCGGCGGTGACGGACAAGGCATTGTGGGCTGCAGGCTAGTGGCCATGCTGCAACATGAGCACCACGCGCAACCGCAGCTTCACGGACACAAGCAGCTGAGCCAAGCTGGCGACACAAACAAAAGCTGCATCACGAGACCTTATCATTCCACATGTCATGACCGCAGAGAGAATAGGAACCCAAACAAGCCGTGCTTCTTGCGTCTTCTTGCTATGCACTTCGCATATTTCAAAGGCAACTCAGAAACACGAATTATATGCGACATATGGAAAATGCGATACATCAACAAGCACCACAGTTTAAAAAAAAAAAGCGGCCACGAGCTTGCTTTAACTGTGGACAGCGGTAGTCTCGACTTGTTTTAACCACGGGCTGCGGTCAGTGAAACCGGTGCCAAGGCGACGATCGAAAATGAATCGCACATCCGCAGATCATCAAAAGAACGATACATGACAAGATGCACATGCTGCCATGCATGCCAAAGAATTGTGTGAAACATGGCGGCAGGCTGTGAGATCGTGCAACCACTGCCACAGATCTCCCCATCAAACGCTCGCGACACGATCGTGCAACCGCAGATCGCGATAGTGGCAGGCACGCATGTGGCAGGAAACATCTCCGGACGAAGCGATGAGAGAGTCAGCACGGCGCGCAACCGCAGCTGGTCTTGGCCACCACCACACGCGCATGCGCGTCGTAAGATCGCGCATCCGCAAAGCGTGGCTGTGCCAAAAACTACGGAGCGTTGCCAAACCAGAAAATCCAGCTTCGCATATCAATGATCGTGATGTTATTCCATGCGTCAATTCTGTCAGCCGGCACCATCATTCCACCCCGTGCCGGATTCCACTTCGTGAGCAAGACCAGCAATTTTCCCAGTTTGGTGGCATCCTCAGCGAGCGCAATGCAACGCGTTAGCGCGTGTTCGTCGTCGCGCTCCAGAGCAGCAAAGCAGTGCTAGCACAAGCCAGTCTCGTACTGTCTGTGTTGGTCTCTGCTGGAAAAAAGATTGTGAGTGGTTGCGCAAGCGCAACAGCACGACAGCTGCAAGGCATCATATGCGCGCACAACACCCTTGACACCGTGTCGGATGCTGTCTAGCTCCATTGACGTCAACCAGTTGGGCCCACGGCAAACCCTGTTATGCTTTGCTGCTTCCTCCAGCAACAGCTGTTCAAATGCGACGCCTGCCGATCTCCTCTGCCAGCACTGTGTGTACTCTTGTTTCTCGGACAGCAAACGTGCAAGGTGGTGACATATGGCACGAAGAAGCAATAGAGTCTTGATACCGAACCATTGGCTTAGCAATGCTTCAGCATTAGCAATCACCTCAGAGAGGAGCATGCCGAGCGACGTCACATAAGCAAAAAAAAGAAACAGAACCGACCGCGCGCAACCGCAATGGCCGAGGCACTCGCCGCGCAGCAAATTTAAGTCCGACAAAGCAGCCGATGCAGAAGTTGCGTCGAGCCATACACTACGAAGCCATGGAGTCACACCAAGCGTATAGCACGGGCGGCGGTGTCTTACCCGAGCGTGGTAAAATGCAAATACCACATTGCTCTGCTTTACAAAGATAGGATGCATTCATTAATAGCAGCAACGCAATAGCAACAACACAAGAAGAAAAAAGGCACCGAGAATAAACCGTATCTGCAACTATATACAATGACAACAAATTATCCACCTGACTTTTCGATCCTAGGAAACGGAAGAAGTTGTGATGATAGAGACACAAACCTTGACGTGCATGCCCGCGCTTTTTCACTGGGACATGCAAGGCAATTGCCAGCTGCTGCCACATCTCGCGCAACCGCAAAGATTCCCTCCAAGAGCATGATCATGCACCTCAGTAACACTGATTATATGCGACACATGGCAACAGTGGCAACACGCATTCCGATCCGCATCTGCGTGCAGTATCTCCAAGAAAGACAAGGCGCATCACCATCTGCGGAGCCCCCCGTCGTCAGAGCGACTGGGTGTGACAAGGCGCGGGACAGAACCACGTCAGACGCAGCGGCACTGACAACGGAGGCGCAGATCTCAATGCAAAGCTGAAGAAGCCACAGCTCAGGAGTTGCAGCAGAGACATGCGACATTTGAAGAAAAGGTTAGAGACTCGAAGCAAAGTCAACGCAAGAAAGGGAGGGGCACAAAGCTGCTTCATATTACCACAGGATCTTCGTGGGCGTCCTGGAGGTTATCAGGATCGTCCTGGAACCCTTGACTTTGTTTTCGCGCGACCCCCACTTGGATACCCTTGGTTCCAAGTGTGTCTCCCCACCACCCAACCTCCTGGGGGACTCAAGGATCTACCCAATAACCCAGGCCTCATAGGATGTTTGGAGGGAACATCCTATGATGCAGCAAAAGTTGTTCTTCCCCAGACAGACGACTTCAAAGGATCACAAGGCAGAAAACGAGCTGCAGACTCCCTCAGCGTCCTTGGCGCGCAACCGCAGCCGGTGTCAATGGCAGCATCCGATGTTCCCGAGGAACACTGCAATCGAAATGCATGTCCACGCGTCACAAGAGTCATCAGAAGAGCCACTTTATACAGAAATTTTCAGGAAAAATGCCGCGGCCCAGATTGGGCCCAGAACGCGGACATACACTTCGTGCAAGCCTGCGCAGTCGAAATGCATGTCCACATGTCACAAGCATCATCAGAAGAGCCACTTTAGACAGAAATTTACAGGAAAAATGCCACGGCCCAGATACGCGGACACACACTTTGTGCGAGCCTGCGCAGTCGAAACGCATGTCAAGATTTCACAAGAGCCACTTTAGACAGAAATTTACAGGAAAAATGCCGCGGCCCAGATTGGGCCCAGAACGCGGACACACACTTGTGCGAGCCTGCGCAGTCGAAACGCATGTCAAGATTTCACAAGAGCCACTTTATGCGGAAATTTACGGGTAAAATGCTGCAGATCAAAGCCGCGCCGCAGACTTTGTGCGAGCCTGCGCAGTCGAAACGCATGTCAAGATTTCACAAGCCACTTTATGCGGAAATTTACGGGAAAAATGCCGCGGCCCAAAACCACGCCGCAGACTTTGCGCGAGCCTGCGCAGTTGAAACGCATGTCAAGATTTCACAAGAGCCACTTTAGACGGAAATTTACTGGTAAAATGCCGCGGCCCAGAGTGAGCACCCTGATCAAGCATCGGCCTTTACACCTACCGTAAGAACCCCTCAGTGTGGACACACTCTTTGGGGAATTACAAAATGGTTTTGGTGATTTGGATTTGGGTGTTCCCCAAACTTTCAGATTTCAGGTGGGAAAATCAATGGTGACGAATCCCCATTGGTTTTGCCATCCAAACATGATATTTGGGAAACTTGGCGATGTTTAGCGGTATCTTGGTATACCCTGGGTGGCTTGCGCAATCAAATTTTGTTTGTTTTCAGGCTGCAAAGTACAGAAAATGTGGACGCTCAGGATGTTTTGAATTTTTGAGCTGGATTGGCCTTGCTACTGCTTGACCCCGCCTTTGGCTGTTGCCACAAACTAGTTTTAAAATTAAAACTTCATTCCTAGGAGTAGCCATTTAGAAGGAAATGGACTTGAAACATGTCTTGCTGTCTATGGAAAAGGGGAGGGGGGCAATCAGTGTACCTACTCTACACCAGCAACTCAAGACGTTGCCTCAAAACAGTGTTCCCGGTATCTGTAAACTTCCTAGGCCCTGGGCATTCCACTGTTATAAATTTGCGGTTTCTTCGCCAGGGTTCCTAGCCACTAGACATAGTTTTTCACCACTTTGTCAGCAAAAGCCAGAAGATTTGGTTCTTGTACATTGCGCAACCCGCCCATATTCCTGCAAAGACGGAGTTCCCACGCATGGCGAGCTGCAATTCATCTGCTGGGGTCCACGAGAGCTAGTAGGCGCGCAAGCCAAAGCTCTACCGCTATCACTGAGATGCCTTTCAACAGCGCTAATACTGTAGGGCGCGTAAGGAGGGAAAATCGTTGCCAAGCAATTTTGGATTGCTCAAGTAGTAGGCCCTAAAGCATACTTGGCTATCTGCATTTTCAAATGGTCAACCACCAGGACCACAGACAGAACGGCTGAGTGCAAAACAGTTGTCAACCATGATGTCTCTATATGTTTCATATTTGCTACACATAGCCTTTATTTTCATGACAGGTGCGTGTATGACACGGTCTATGTACAATATCTAAATATGTCAACTGGCATCAACTGGCCATCAGTATATGTGTGTTCACGTGTGATGATACACGGAGCTGGAGCTGGGTCACATGTTTCCACGTTTAATAGCGAAGGCTTCCCAGCCGACTTCCCAGCCGACTTCCCAGCCGACTTCCCAGTCACTTATTAGTCAGAGAAGATGGGTGGAAGTGTTTGAATCTGCGTCTGGTTCCATAAGAATGAAATGACAGTCAATCCGTCTGTTCAATATTGTTTATTCAATATTTTATGAGTGTATAAAAAATGTTGAAGGTACGACAGGTTGGGTGAGGTTCATGCGCGCATGTCAAGCCAAAACAAGAGAAGTTGTTTATAATTCAGCCGGTATACCGCAAAACGTCGGTATACCGCTAAACGTCGCGCGGCTCTCCCAGGTCCAGCCCGGGTTGGGAACGTGGCTGGGAGCAGGAACTGTGTGATTCGCACCCGGCTCTCCCGGGTCCAGCCTGGGCTGGGACCGCGAGAGGGGAGTGTGAAACTGAGAGAGCATAGTGTCACCGTTGCAAACGCTAGCGTGCACACTCTCTTGTCTCGATTACGCACCCGGCTCTCCCGGGTCCAGCCTGGGCTGGAACCGCGAGAGGGGAGTGTGTATTTCGCAGTGCTGGCTCTCGCCACCGTTGGTTCAACGCTGACCCGGTTTCAACCTTTTTGTGAAAAATCTTTCAGCTGGTTCGCCGCAGGAATTTGTCAAACGCGACGATGACGAACGACAACATCAATGTGGACAAATAATCACGCAACCTTTCCTGAGAGGTGACGGTGGGCATGGGTTCCCCGGTATCTTGGATGATGGCGTTTTGCTATCCGTCTGCAAGGTCATTTTCATTCTTATGAAACCAGACGTAGATTCAGACACTTCCAGCCTTCTTCTCTGACAAAGTGACTGGGAAGTCGGCTGCGAAGCCTTCGCTGTTAAACGTGGAAACATGTGACCCAGCTCCGTATATCATCACACGTGAACACACATATACTGATGGCCAGTTGATGCCAGTTGACATATTTAGATATTGCACATAGACCGTGTCATACACGCACCTGTCATGAAAATAGAAGCTGTGTGTAGCAAAGATAAAACATATAGAGACATCGTAAACTGTTTTGCATTCAGCCGTTCTGTCTGTGGTCCTGGTGGTTGACCATTTGAAAATGCAGATAGCCAAGTATGCTTTAGGGCCTAATACTTGAGCAATCCAAAATTGCTTGGCAACGATTTTCCCTCCTTACGCGCCCTACAGTACTAGCGCTGTTGAAAGGCATCTCAGTGATAGCGGTAGAGCTTTGGCTTGCGCGCCTACTAGCTCTCGTGGACCCCGATGAATTGCAGCTCGCCATGCGTGGGAACTCCGTCTTTGCAGGAATATGGGCAGGTTGCGCAATGTACAAAAACCAAATCTTCTGGCTTTTGCTGACAAGCGCGCTGTCAGCAGAGTGGTGAAAAACTATGTCTAGTGGCTAGGAACCCTGGCGAAGAAACCGCAAATTTATAACAGTGGAATGCCCAGGGCCTAGGAAGTTTACAGATACCGGGAACACTGTTTTGAGGCAACGTCTTGAGTTGCTGGTGTAGAGTAGGTACACTGATTGCCCCCCTCCCCTTTTCCATAGACAGCAAGACATGTTTCAAGTCCATTTCCTTCTAAATGGCTTCTCCATCTAGTGTAAGCTTCCAGGAATGAAGTTTTGGTTTTTAAACTAGTTTGTGGCAACAGCCAGAGGCGGGGTCAAACAGTAGCAAAACCAATCCAGCTCAAAAATTCAAAACATCCTGAGCGCCCACATTTTCTGTACTTTGCAGCCTGAAAACAAACAAAATTTGATTGCGCAAGACACCCAGGGTATACCAAGATACCGCTAAACATCGCCAAGGAAACCAATGGCTGTGTCTTCATTATTTTTCATTTGATATGGTGGGAAAATATGTTTTCCAAGTAGTGGACTTCCCTCAAAAGATGGGGGAGTTCCCTTAAATAGTATCAAACATCATTTATGGGGGGTTCCATAGTCATCGGAGCATCCAAAATCGGGGTACCCCCAGTTCTCTTTTATTTACAGATGGGAGAAAATCCATGAAACATCCAGTGGGGTACCCCAAGACTCAGCTGGAAGGCCCGCATTTTACCATACCATCGGAGGGGTGGGCCACGGCTTCCAGCAACATGAGGTGCGGCCGCTGGTGCTGGGTCAGGATGGGGAGGGTCAAAAATGCTGGGTGCTCCCAAGTGAAAATGCAATTTTTGGGGTAAACAACCATGAAAATGAGGAATCAATGGATTTTGGGGCACACGGGGTACACTGTTTTTCGGCGACCCCCAAATATCGGAAAAGGAAAAAACAAAATGGTCCGAGAATGTCTCGATGTGTTTGATCCACTTGTTTGCTATGTTGATGACTGTTTGATAGGTTCAGGAACATTCTCAAATCATTTCGTGGCAACTAGGAATTGCGGATCTGTATGTGATGTTTGTCAGCCTTTTATGTGGACCAGCCAATTTGATTGCCGTTGAACTGTTGAACGGGGGTTTCTGTATGGTTCCGGTTCCACTTGCCATTTTTTCAGCCATGTTCTAACCGTTTTAACATGTTCTATGTTTGACGTAGTTTATCTGGTGGTTTCTTCACTTGGGGGATCCCCAAAACCATGGGTTTTAACCCTAAAAGGATCTAAAAGGTTCTAATGACTTGGATGCAAGGAGGTAACCCCATGACAAAACGGACATCTCTATCGATGTTTCTCCAGGGCAAACTGCGAGTTCCTACGCCTCGGAACATCACTCCTGGGCCTGGTTTTTACTTTAAGGTGCCAGTGGGGACGATGGATGCAACCAGGCTGTGAGGTGTGT